ATGAAGAGGTCATGTAGGACAGTGGTTCTCAAACTATTTACACGGTAAATTACACCAACATTAAACCATTGGCGTGAATACTTACAGTTGGAGTATAAGTGGAGTTGTGCTGCACTTACGATTGTTGTCGTTCATTAGAAAGATTTCCCAAACTTGTAAGTATTCAGATTTACATCCCCCCCCCCAGGTGTGGTGCTGTCCAAGGCAGAGAAGCTGCTGAAGGTGAGCATCCAGCCCTACATCAGCTCCATCCTGGAGGCCCTGATGGAGCCCACCAGCAGGGGCTTCTCCGAGGTCAGGGACGTCTTCTTCCGGGAGCTGGTGGACATGAGCAAGAACGCCGTCAACCAGGGCACCAAGGAGACGGTGGCAGAGGTGGGTGACCGGGGAGCGTGTCCCCCAGCGGCGCCCTGTGAATAGACAGTGGCGCCCGCTGTTCGTATCAACGTTAGCTGCTGACGAGCGCGGACAGCAGCGCAAGTGGCTTATGTCGATTTCCTGGTCACCAATGGGGAGCATGCGCATTAGTTGCTTACCAAACATGGGCATGTGCGTTAGTCATGGACGTATTGTGAGATTTCCCGGCACATGAGTAATAGTCGGTTGCACATGCTCAAAACTTGTGACTGAAAGCAGAATTGACCCCTAAGATATTTTTGTCATAGCCCATTCAGATGCCTTTTTAGTTGAGCATTGTATCTCATACCCAGATCCCTTTCTCATACCCAGATCCCTCTCTAGTTCATACTTCCAGCATTCATTTAGTAATTTACCAGACATGTTTATCCAAAGCGACGTACAGTGAATCCCGAATTTCCCGTCAGTACCATCTCATCGTATAGTGCTTGTACATCGCGACGTCACATCGCAATGGCTGCCACCATTTTGGAAGCATAGGAGCATTTAAATATGTTGGTAGTAATGTTTTTTTGGTAATTGTTTATTAATTAATCGTGGAATGATTTGTCATGATTTGTAATTATGTTGTGTTACGTTGTGTTATTTTGTGTTTGGCGGGGTATCGCAAAACAAAGAGTCCCATAATGCATTGTGATGTACGAGCCCCATCTTCATTGTCTCCATCTCCTCTCGTCCAGCACATGGAGAAGATCTCCATGCTGGCGTTCCACCCAGTGAAGATGCAGAGCTGCTATGAGAAGGTGGAGCAGCTCAGTCTGGACGGTCTTCAGCAGCGCTTCGACGTCTCCAGCCCCTCCGTGTTCGTCCAGAGAGCCCAGATCCTCATGAGAGAGGTGAGGAGATCCGGGTGGAGATGATGGCTTTTCAATGGGTGTCATTTCATAGTGTACAGAGTAGCCACAAAAAGCTAACGCTATTAAGCTATTAAAGCGAACAGCGCCATCTCTGGTAAGCCACTGCAATTACATGACGCTGTTGGCTGGCACTAATTTGACAAACATTTGTTGTTGTTGACTCGATTGTTTTGTCGTGTGTGGGTGCATTTTAACATGTTCGGACATAAAGAGAGAAAAAAACAGATACAAACACAGGTGTGTCTCTGTGGCCTTGTGGCTTTTGGGATTTTTCAAACATTAATCATTAACTTAATCGTTAACCCTACGTTTGTTTGTTAAAAACTTTACTTTGCCAATTTACGTCAAAGAAAAAATGACTCAAAAGTAGAACTCGTGTGTTCTGTGTATTTGCTTGGCAACGCTAAATACAAGGTAGCATTTTAACTACACACGCTAGAAACCTACGTGCAATAGAAACTCATTGACTGTTTTCCGTGTTAATCTTTAGGCTTCCTCAGGTAAATTGTCTCTCCCTTAAGTGCTACTTTGCATAATCGTCTACTAAGTGCATGACATAAATTCTGAGTCAGCCAGCAAAACCCTTTAATGTGTTTTAAAAAAAATGCATTGCCACGGCAACACTCCTTTTTGTACTTTTCCAGATGTTTATCACCAAGGGCTCAGGCATTCACACACACACACACACACACACACACACACACACACACACACACACACACTATAACCATGGCTGGCCCCTTTCTATAGAGTGGGTCTTGTCTGTGTGGATGGTCTAGATGGGGGGGATGGGCGTCCAAATTCAGGGTCACTCAGAGTTCATAAACAACACATGAACAGGAAACAGTTCAAGGACGCGGCGTACCACCATTTCCTGTCGGGAGGACAAGATTAATGAGACACAAATTCGTTTCGCCCAGAATAAAATCCTTTGAATTGGGTTCCTGTGCCTAGTAATAATAAATGATCTGCCGAAGTTTGTTTCTGCGAGAAACTAAATTATGTCAGGAAAGTATCATGCGGTCAGGTTTTGACAGTGGAAACCAAATATGGAAATGATCAATCCAGACCTTTTTGGGGAAATAATTGGATAGTTTGTTTTTTAAATCATGTGGAGAAAACTTTCTGCAGCGCTTCACAGGCATTCACTGGTGCAGCAGCGCCCTCTGCTGGCAGCATGGATGTGTAGCAGCCACATCATCCTCATTAGTACTGCTTATGTACTGAAGGCATATCAGGAACTACTTGGATCTCAGTATAAAGAACAGATCTATGCAGACCTGCACAGAACAACAGAAGGATGCTTTATTTATTTTTATTTATTTATTGGTTTATTTGGTAGGGACCATGCATATTCATGAACATTGTTGTGTAAAAAAAATACACCCATGTAAATATGCCAGAATTAGTCAAATGACTACTTTTCATCTGTAGTCCCCAGGCAGGTAACATAAAAACATAATCTAAAAAAGACAATAGACAACAAAAAGGACAAAACATGGACACCACCAAAGCAGGTACAATGCTGACATGAACATCACCAAAATGTACACATGAAGATGACAATCTACACCAAGGCAGAAAAACAAACATACTGTACATGCAGACAAACAAGCAAAAAACAACAAAAGGAAGATGAAGAGAGATGAGATGTGTAACATTTAGTGATTGCATTTTTGTTTTTGAAGGAACCACTGTCTTAAATGATTTTTAAAGGTGTTGTAAGTGGGGCACTCTCTTATTTGGAGAGGTAGAGTATTCCAAACTTTACCTCCCATTACTGACAGCACGTTTTGGGCAAAAGTGGTACGTCTAAATGGTATAATTGAGTCTCCTTTTATAGAGGCCCGTGTACTACCACTGCTTGAAAACGCATATTACAAAATGACTGCAGTTAGCTCCCCATCATTTTATAGGGAGCAAAATGTTGTGAATTTGAAGTGGTTGACACCTTAAGGGTGACATTGGAACAAGATATTGTGTGCAAGTACATGTGTTCTGGCACGCCTGCACTAACGCAGAATTGTACTTCATCCATAAGATCTTCATTATTCCCTAGACAGGGAAAATGGCGCCCGAACAGGGACTTGAACCCTGGACCCTCAGATTAAAAGTCTGATGCTCTGCCGACTGAGCTATCCGGGCTCTTCATGCATATGATTGTGTGTGTGGATCTGTGCATGGAAAATTAACAATGTGTCTGTCCCTGTCTGTCTGTCTCTCTCTCCTCCCCACCCCCTTCTCCCTATCTGTCTCTCTGTCTCACCCCCTCCCATCTCTCTGTTTCTTCCTCTCACCTTGCTCTCTCTGTGTCTCCCACTCTGTCTCTGTCTCTATATGTCTCTTGTTCCCTCTGTCTTTCCCCCCCCCTTCTCTCTCTGCCTCTCAATGTTTCTCTCTCTCTCTCTCTCTCTCTCTCTCTCTCTCTTCCTCCCCCCCTCCCTCCATGTCTCTCTATGTCGCTCTCTCCCCAGCAAATGGATGATGCTGTATATACGTTTGAGCAGATTCTCCACCAGAGTCTGGAGTCTCAAGGTACAGAGGCTCTCTGTAAGACCATACAGCGTTGCCAGGACCGCGTCATCAAGGTACCAGGACCCCCCCCACAAGACCACCCACCCATTCCTCACTTCATTCATTTCTTTCTTTCATTCTTTTAGTCATTGATTAATATGTCCATTCATTCATTGTGTCTTGATTAATTTTTTTTTCATCCATTCATTTACCCATTCATTATGTAATTAATTCAGCCATTACTTCTTCATTCACTCACTTACTCTTTACTTGCTGTTCTTTCTAGACCTCTGGATTCTTTCTTTGAAACTCAACTTCTTTCTAACATCTGGATATATTCTCTGTCCTATACCCTAACATCTGGATATATTCTGTTCTAAACATTTGTATGTTTTTTCTAACGTCTGTATATATTCAGTGTCTGTATTCTGTTTGATACCCTAACATCTGGATATATTCTCTGTCCTATACCCTAACATCTGGATATATTCTGTGTCGTCCTGCAGAAGTTTGACTACGACAGCAGCACGGTGAGGAAGAGGTTCTTCAGAGAAGCTCTGCTCCAGATCTTCATCCCCTACATGTTGAAGCAGCTCACGCCAGCCTGCTCCTCCGTAAGAACCTCCCACCTCCTACCCTGCCTCCTCCTCCTCCTCCTACTCCTACTCCCTCCACCTCCTCCCCATACCCCTCCACCTCCTTCTCCCTCCTCCCCATACCCCTCCTCCTCTCTCCCCCCCCCCCACCACCACCACCACCACCTCCTCCTCAGAGGAACTGGTCTGAGAACCACTTGAAACTTATTTAGTTTGTCTGTCCATTTGTTCATGTATTTGTTAGTATCATGTGGAAGGTCTGTAGAGCTTTGGCGCTGCTAGATCTAGAAGACTATCCTAAACCCTGTGTCCTAACTTCAGGGAGGTCAAGCTATGGGTATTTATAGTAGCTATTCAATAATAAGATGCTTCAACCTTAAGACATCAGTCAGTGCCGGTGTACAAAATTAGATTGAGACAGAAACCACAGCCACTGGATGGATCATGGTACCATAGTTTAATTTCCGACATCTCGGTGCGTGTGCTATGTGTCTAATTTAATCCTCCATTATAGCGTCAGGTTATTTATAAAGCTCTTTTCTGTGTCAGAATTAGGTCAGTGACATCATCGTGGTGTAACAGACCTACGGGGGCTGTAGTGGGACACACTTCTGACTAGCTCAACTGGTAGAGCATGGCATTGACATTGCCATGGTTAGGGTTTCCATTCTCACTGGAACTGCCAATGCTAAACATGTATGCACTCTAGAGCTTTGATTCTCGCCCCGAACCCGATTTGGGCTCGGGCCGAAAACTGCTGCCATCGGTCGGGCTCGGGTTGGGCTCAGACAGAATGCGATTATTTGTATTTTTTTAATATATTTAATATTTAAGTAACAATGTGTTGATTTAAAAACGTTAAAATTAGCGGGCCATTTGCTGTTTGCTCTCACTGTCTCACACACCGTAAGCGTGTGTGAAACCTTTCCACTGCATGGTACTGACTCGACTCAGCTCTACTCGCTTTTGGTAGCCTACCTAGTAATTCATTTTCCAATGCAGATAAACAGATAAACCTTAAACCCTGTCTGAATCGGAGCCGGCGGAGACCACAGCTGCCGAATCACGTTTTTATCAACCAATTGGTTTTTCTGAAGGGTTAGAATAATTTAATTTTAATTAAGAGTCACGAGTACAAATAGGCCTAGGTGTTTTGAACATTGTGCAAAGTATTGATGAAATTGCATAGCAGGACGAGTGCTATTCTTTCAAAGAGAAAACACACAGGCGCAATAGTGGATGAAGGATCGCCAGAAAAGTAAAAAACCATACAGTGGAAAAGCACCATAAATGAAGTGTGTGTGTGTTTTGATTCCGCGACTGTAATTAATGAGGCCCCAGGTAGGCAATGGGCTTTATTTTATTACCTATTTTGTTATCTTCATTTTTGTTTTTGTTATTTATTTATTTTGATAATAATTTGCACTATATTATATGCCACATTAGTTTAATTTAGCTTGTAATAAACTATTTAAATTATTATTACAAAAATTCAATTTAGATTTTGGTTGTGGACATTTTTTTTGGTTGTTTAGTTTCAAAATCTTTTTTTCTGCTCTCTCTTTACAACTCTGGAAGCACCGTTTTAAATGCTTACAAATGAATAGTAAATGGACGATTGTTATTCCAGGACCTGCCGGGCTTCCAGGAGCTGATCTTCGAGGACTTCTCCCGCTTCATCCTGGTGGACAGCATCTTCGAGGAGGTGGTGCTGCACTCGGTCATGAAGGACATCATGACTGGTGAGTTGCATTTCCAGTCCTACGTACGATCCACATCCTGACGTTGAGACACGATGCGGATCTTCACAGAGCTGCCCGCATTTATTTAGTTTTTTTTATTATTATTAGGTTAACGTGTACACTAGGGGGCGGTATAGCGCTTCCGACGGAGGACTACCACATCTCCACGTAGGTGGAGCCTAAAGGGGCGTGTATGGTAGCGACGTGGATCTCCACGCATACAGGACACAGAAGTGTAATTTGGGCTTAGGCCGGGAGAACCATCACATCGGGACAATGGGAACTACTGGCATGATTCTCTGACCAAACTTGGCTGAAACCGAATCCAACCATTGTGTTAATCATTCGTTTCATGAGAAAGAAAAGTGCAAAAAACGTCAATGTCCTTTCTCATTTTTTTTTGTGTTCTATTCACCAGACTAGTGATCTTCTAAATGATTCAGGCAGTTTACACACAGTTACGTTCACATGTTTTATGTGCCAATGAACGATTGGTGGTGGGTAACTGTTATTTAAGTGAACAAACGTGAGTAAACGTGAAAAGTTGGATGAAAACGAGGTTGGTGAAAACGACCTTCGTCTGATTACTCATGCTCATCAAACTGAGGTGTTGCATGTCAACGTATTGCTGGCCAAAATGTAAAACCCCTTGTTCTCTGGCTCCCCCTCCCCCACAGCTGTGAAGGAGGCAGCGGTCCAGCGGAGACACAACCTGTACCGGGACAGCATTGTGCTGACCAGCAGCGACCCCAACCTGCACCTGCTGGCGGACAACCCCTCTGTCGACTGGGCTGGCGAATACGGTTCCCAGGAGGAGGAGGAGGAGCAGGAGGGGGAGGAGGAGGCGGAGGCGGGCGGAGCGGACGCTGCAGACGGGGGAACGGAGGCCAAGAAGAAGAGGAGGAGGCTGAAGCAAGTGGTCTCCATGATCCATGTGGAGGGGTCGCCCACGGTGGCCAACGAGTCGTGCATGGACGTGCCGGGGGTGGATGGAATACCAGAGGAGGAGGAGGAGGAGGAAGAGGAAGAAGAGGAGGAGGAGGAACAACAAGAGGAGAAGGTGGACAACAACAATGAGAAAGATGGTGGGGTTCCTGCTGAGGGCCAATCATCTAACAGCGGCTGCAACAGCCACCCCGATGTTCTGACCAACGGTTCTCCCTCCAAGGAGACCAGCAGCGAGGAGGTCAGTCCAGAGGAGGAGCGACGAGAGGAGCAGCCGTCTGCAGACCCCCCCCAGAGCATAGCCGCACCCCCCCTCACAGCAGGCAGCCCGGCGAGGGGGGAGGAGCAAGCTGAGGTTAAGCCCGACGACAGCGCCACACAGAAGCCAGTCGCTGAGATCGTCACGGAAACGATGGAGACCGCGCCCGTAACCCAGGAGTGTGTCCAGGACACGCCTCCCTCAAGCCCCAAGCCGACACCCCCCAAGGACATGCCCCCTGTGACGAACCCGGAGCCCGTGGCGGCCCCGGAGCCCGTCAAGGACCCGGAGCCCGTGGCGGCCCCGGAGCCTGTCAAGGACCCGGAGCCAGTGGCGGCCCCGGAGCCTGTCAAGGACCCGGAGCCAGTGGCGGCCCCGGAGCCCGTCAAGGACCCGGAGCCAGTGGCGGCCCCGGAGCCCGTCAAGGACCCGGAGCCCGTCAAGGACCCGGAGTCCGTCAAGGACCCGGAGCCCGTGGCGGCCCTGGAGCCCGTGGTGGCCCTGGAGCCAGTGGCGGCCCTGGAGCCCGTGGCGGCCCCGGAGCCCGTGGCGGCCCCGGAGCCCGTGGCGGACCCGGAGCCCGTGAAGGACCCGGAGCCCGCGACTGCCGACTTCCCCCCTCCCCCGCCGCCGGCTGACGGCGTGGAGGCGGAGGAGGAAGTGGCTCCTCTCCCCGAAGGACCGGACCTGACGACGACGACGACGACATCATCATCATCACCTCCGCTGCCGACCAGTGAGGAGGAGAAGGGGGCGGCACCGGAGTCGCCACGGCAACAGCCGGAGACGGAACCCACAGCAAACCCCAGTGACTCTCGGAGTGCAGAGGAAGCCTCTCCTGGACCCCGCAGCCAGTGAGCAAGGCAGCGGCCTGCGTGTTCAACCTGGGGAGGAGGAGGAGGAGAAGAAGATGATGATGGAAGGTTTTTCTGAAGGTGGATCGTTTTATGATAGCATTTTTTGGGGTAAAAGAAAAACCCTTACATACATCTGCACATCTGGCTTAATATGCACATGCACTACACCCACATATCCTCACCTGACACCTGCGGCTTTACCGAGAAATGCTCAAGCGATCTTATTTCGCCTTTTTTGAAAAATACTTGGCAACATGAACATTAGAAACACACACACACACACACACATGCATACATACATATACATACACACACACACACGCACATGCGCATTCTTCCCTATATGAAATGTAGTTTGATGGGAAGCTGAGGCTTATTTGCGACAAAAAGTTCACAACACAAGCGTTCACATGTATCCACGTGGTGGGAGCGTGCACGTGCCGAGGGCGTGCACGTGATCTCTGGTTATCTCTGGTTCTTCAGGGTGTCCAGTGAAAACGTGCGAAGAGCGCTCCGACGCACGGTGCCTTCAGTGATTTAAGGGTTCTAATTTTGACTCGATTTTCATTTCATTTCATTTTCATTTCATCTCTCGTCTCTCTTTCTCTGTCCTCCTGTCTACCCTCCGTCTGTGGGGGGGGACATGGATCGGATCGGATGTCGTAACCCCCCCCCCCCCCCCCTGCAAGATAACGTTCAAATATTTTTTACCGTTCATGTTTCCACATTATTGTCCGCATCCTCGCTTTCACTGAGTTCTTCGTCGATTGTCGGCACGACAATCGAAGACAAATCGGTCACACAAAGCCTTGTATAAAACTCCCAACGTCTCGACATGTTTCCCGTCCGCACGCGTGAATGACACTATTTTACATGAGTTGACCCCTCGACGAAGAGATGCTGTATGATATGTATAAATCCTTGTATGGACTGTGGGTCTAGCAGTCCCAGTCACTACAAAACCTTTTTTATAGTCGCTTTAGTTTATCCACCCCCCCCCCCCCCCCCCCCTGTTTTATTTATTGTTTTCTTGTTCAACTTCTACGTGTATTCGTCTCCCTGTCCTTTTTGGAAATCTTAGTTTTTTAGATTTGTTTTACTTTGACTTATGAACAACGTGTTATTATTGATAATAAATCATTATCGATTAAATATACCAGCATGACTGCATTTGTATTTATTCTTGTTTGGTTATTTGCAGTAGTTTGTATGGATTATGAACCTTGTTTGAAACATCTTGTTGTTCTGCCGCCCCAGAAGGAGGCATCTCTTGTGTGTGTGTTTCCTTCTCAAGGTTTCTTCCTTCCCCTCTGGGTTTAGGCTACTTTTTCCTTTCCCATTTGTCCTTTTGAGGACTTGGGGGGTTTTAAGAGAGATCAGTCGACCCATTTGAGAGTGTGTGATGACAGACGGTTGAAAAAGACATTTGACTTTACTTCTGTCCCATGCAAAACAGATGGTTGATAGCAATATTACTATTGCTATCAATAGTAGCCTACTAGAGTGTTGCAGGTATGCTGACACATAGTGAAGTTATGTGTAGTTCCTGTCTGGGATAAATAAAGTATCTTACCTTAAGGTCCAGGTGCCATTAATTCATGTTTTTCTATACATGTATGAATCTCTAGATGTAGGCTATTGCTGTGTTTAATTTCTAAATGCATATGTTTTATGTTTTGTTGCATTCCTTTATTTGTGCAACGTCTCATATGCTGTCATTATTTGTGAGCGAAGCCACTTGCAAACATTGGGGAGGGGAAGAGTACTTAGTCACACACACACACACACACACACACACACACACACACACACACACACACACACACACACACACACACACACACACACACACACACACACACACACACACACACACACACAC